AGCCGTCCAAGGTCATCTCTTGTCTGTCTCAAGCTTGAAGCCTGCCTGGCTAGAGACTCTGTCCCCAAAAGGAAAGATGGTGATGAAGGTTGTTGGAACCGTGTGTCCAGAAGGGGCCTCTCCTCCAGCCTGGTGAAGGGGAGTTTTCCCCAGCCCTAAAATGACCCTGGGCACTGTGGGCACCCATGGTGACTGCTAGCTTTTGTGAGCATGACCACGCTGGAGTCACACATTCAGTATTAGTTGTCAGTGGGTCTGTGTCACCAGCCGTGGCCACAAGCCCCTGCTGCTTACCCTTGGCTAACAGCCTGACGGGACAGGTTCAGTGGCCCCTAGTTAGCAGCCAACTAAAGGAAACCGGGAACCTTCTGTGTAAGGGAGGAGGCTCATGGGAATCCACACAAGTGAGAGAGGATCAAGGGATGGGCTTGAGCGGAGCTGGTGGCAAGTGGCCCTCGGGCCGCTGGCTGCTGTCTCCTGTCTCGGTGGTGGGCTCACTGAGCCTGGGATGACTTCCTTACATGTGCACATTGGCCTTGCCCTTCCTTGAAGTTTGTAGTGAGGTGGTGAAAGACCAGCGCCGGAGACAGTTAGTCGGCATGGCGGGATGGTGAGTGTGTCTGTGTTTCCTTCCATGCACCAGCGCTGTGTCTGCTGCCACCGGCTTCCTGGCAAAGGGAGGCTCAGCACCCTGGCCTGAGAGCTTTCTCCATGAAGCCACAGTGTGAGCATCACCCACAGCTAGAAATGCAAACTCATCATCTTCTTTCTGGACCTGATGAATCAGACACCGCTGGTATGGGCCCAGGCTTATGTGTTTTCATGAGCCCTCCAAGGGAGGTGTTGCATGCCCAAATGTGGAGACCACTGTGCCAGGGGAGGGACCTGCTGATCTGGACTCAGGTTCCCATGGAGCTGGCAGCCACTCTCTTACGTGACCCTAAGTGCCCAGGCTAATCAGAAACACCCAGGATGAGCACACTTCCCTCCCTACCCAGGGCCCTGGGGAGTTTCCCTGTCCAGTCATTTCTGTTGCTAAGTTCCTTGAGTGGGTGTTTATCTCTTCAGTAAGACTCCATGACTAAGAGGAAGATGTAGGACAGGTACCTTTCCATAGATTCTTCCAACAAGTCACATGACAAACCAGAGATACATTTTTTTTTTAATGTGGATGGAAGTGGCAAGGTCTGTGTACCCCGAAAGTCTCTTGAAGAGAGCCTTGCATGGATGTGGGCGTCCTCAGGGGCTCCTGGAGGGTGGGGATTGTGAGCTGGGGTGCCCACTGAACTCAGCATTGTGTGTGTGTTGTGGGGGGACTCCAGCTAAGCTTCTCAGGCCATGGGGCAGATCTTTTCCTTTTTAAACCTATTGCCAGAAGAACAGGCATCCCCTCAATGTGGGCCATGCCCAGCTGGATGCTTAGGCTCCTGTCAGGGATGTGGCAGCTTCTGGTCATTGAAGCTACAAGCTTCAGCAGGCCTGAATGATTGCCAGAGTGGCCCAGGTGTCAGGTGGGTTACATCCAGGAGGAGCTTCCTCAGCTTCTGCTCCACTGTTGGCTTGGACACGCTTCATCTTCCCAGGCAGGGCTTCCTCCACCCAGCAGCCCCTCTGAGCTTGCCAGGCATCCCCTCAATCTTATGGCGACCCAGCTTAGTTAGCCAAGAGACCTGGAGCTTTAAAAATAGCACAGAGGCAGCCCAGGCCAGGAGCCGCCTGGCCACACAACAGGACAGAACACACATTCCCACTTCTTGAGCCATTTCCTGGGATCATGTGTTGAGAAGAATTCCCAGAACAAAGTCAGGTTACTAACTCCTGGGTCTGCTCTGCACGGCCCACTTCTCGTCTGTGACACATCCATGCTTATGCTGCTGCCCCTACCTTCCCGTGCACTGTGCTCAAGCCCGCTCCCGGGACATTTCCTGTTCTTGGAACAGCTGCACCAGACTGGGGTACCCTCCTGCCACTTGATCCTATAGGGAGGTGTCCAGTGGCTGTGGGCAATTTTCAGATGACCTTGTTCCTCTGACGTCATTAGGAAGCTATTTTTAGCTTTGCTGTTTATGCTGCAGAAGTTGGACTGGGGTGGGGGAAGGAGTAGTGGGGGCAGGCTGGGCTGGCTTCCCTTGTTCCAGAGCCATGCCAAAGAAAGAGTATTTATCCTTCCATATTAATAGAACTCCTACTGGGGCCACCAAGTTGATGAAAATGTCTCAATATTCTTATTTTTTTTTTTAGAGAGGGCCTCACTACGTAGCCTGTCTCTGCCTCCTGAGTGCTGGGATAAAAAGGCCTGTACCACCACACCTAGTTCTCGTTTTCTTTACACGGGAGTTTACTTTTCAGTAGCCACTACTTCTGGCTCACAGTGGAAAGCCTGTGGGGTCCAGGGGAAGTTTGTGTTAAAATTCTGGCTCTGCCTCTGAAGCCTTGGGTCAGTTTCTCCTCTGCCTCAGATTCCTCTTAGAAAAGGGAATGATTATGTGGCAAGGGGAGCTGACAATGCCTGGCTCTGGCACAGAGTCAACACATCATGATATCAGCATCTGTCACTATCAACCACACAGCACCATGTACTGCTTGGAAGATGGGGTTGATGGAGACGTGGTCCCTAACACCTGGGCTTGCAGAGGTCTTAACTATGGGGATGTGCGTACACCCCCTACAAGTTCAAAGTAACACCTGCCACATGAGTCACTCTATCCCAACCCTGGAGGGATTTCAGGGCAAGGGAGAAGCAGTTCCTGCCACCCAGGAAAGCCCCTGACTGCACCTCAGATTCTCCTGGGGAGATAGCCCCTTCCTCTGATCTTATTGGCTGAATTTGAGGAGCTGGGACATCATAGGTTATGGAAGCCCCAAGGTGCTTCTGTGTGCATCTGGACTAAGAAGCATGGCCTCACAGGACAAGGATGTGTCCTCAGAACTGTCCTCTGGCTATACCAATGTGACTTACCGGGAGACAGCCTGCCTCACAGCTGGCCCTCTCTGGGCCTCTGGCGATGCTTTCTAGTAAGTGGGTCTCTGGCGTGGCAATCTTCCAACTTGGGTTTGTATACAAACAATCTGAAGTTCTTCTCAAAATGACCAATTCCTGGTACCCTACCCCAAGCAGCCCTCCTCTGAGACAAGTTCCAGGAGCATAGGCATTGAGAAAGGTTGGAGCAGTGGGGCTTGTGCCTTCTGCTGAGATCTCATCCCTGACCACGTGTCCTCAAGACTTTGTTTTCTGTGTGTTTCAGATCTCAGCATCACCCTTACCATGCTCTGTTGGTGCCCATGCTGACATGTTTTCACTTGTTTCATCCAATCATAGCTATAACGGGTCACTGAAAAGAGCCACAAAATCGAAACGAGCAAGAGACACTCAGAATGCCCGCTGATGTCTCTCCTTCACCAACCTCAGCAGGAAGGGCAGGGTCTATGGCAGGGACAGAGCTTTCTCACAGGACTGGCCAGGAAGGACAAGGCTCCGAGTGGGAGAGGGCAAGGAAAATAACGTGCTGATGACAGCCCCAGCGCCTCTCAAAGAAGGCTGGAGTGGACGCCGCAAGGGAAAGGCCATTGCTCAACTGCCTGGATTTTCCATCACAGAGGAGCGGGGAAGGGTCAGGCGGGGAGCGTCTCCTCAAGCAGGTCCTTGTAAAGCCTTTTGGACAGATTGATTTCCTTGGGGAGCCAAGAAGCAGTGCTGGGTGGAGTTAACCCCTGCATTCCCAATGAGATTGTCTGGAGACGGGCAGGACCCGGGAGCCCGCGCTCCTGGAAGGCAGAGCTGCCCAGGGCAAGTGGCCTAAGGAGCCGTGAACTCTGGCTAGAGAAACCTTCCCTCTGGCCTTGTTAAATCCAACAGGCATAATTGCATCCTGCTGACCTTAATTCCCCTGGCGGGTTTAATTGGGCCTGGCACTGTCCCACTTCCTGCCTTGGCCCCACAGAGGCAGAGAGCGTCTGCGCAGCTGGCACGGGGCAGGGAAACCCCTTCATGAGTTAGGTGGGCAGGGGTTCTGGCAGCTTCTTGCAGGGTTGAGGAGGTTCCCCTGTGCCCCACCCCTTGTGCCCCTCCCCTGCGCCTCCAAGAGTGCTGAGAAGCCTGGGGACACCCTGCGAGCAGCTGACAAGACCAGGTCATCCCACACAGATCAGAACCATGCCAGCCTCCTATCCCGGCAGAAGGCACTTTTGGTAAAGCAGGCAAAGTAGCTGGGCTCTTTATCTGTGGTGGTCACCACATTACCAAGTCCCAGGCCCCTTTGCTCTGTGCCAAGTACTTTACATACACAGGCTGGGCACAAATTCTCAGTCACCCTGGGTGCTCCCAGCCCTCCAAACACTTAATGAGTTTCCTTCTGGGAGCAGGCAGTCCTCCAGCAGAGGAGGAGACCACTAGGGTACATGTCATCCTCAAAGTTGGTGGCTGAGAACTCCCTTGCAGTCCTCCTGACCCTGACCCATAGGGCTGCTTCAAGACTAAAGGCAGGATGTTCCTGGGACTGGGGAGACCCACTCTTCAGAAAACATTGCCAGAGGCCCCAGAGAGGGTCAGCTGGGAGGCAGCCAGTCCCCTGGTAGGAACAGTCCGTATAGTACTGGTGTCACAAGCATGAGGACCTGAGTTCCATCCTGAGCACTCATGTAAAGCTGGGTGTGGGGGCTGGAGAGATGGCTTAGTGGTTAAGAGCACTGACTGTTCTTCCAGAGGACCCAGGTTCAATCCCCAGCACCCACATGGCAGCTCACAACTGTCTGTAACTCCAGTTCCAGGGGATCCTCACACAGACATACACACAGGCAAAACACCAATGCACATAAAATAAGAATACATCAATTTCTTAAAAAGAAAAAAAAAAGCTGGGTGTGGTAGCTCTAGAGAGGCAAAGAGGTGCATGCATCCTGGGGGCTCCCTGGCTAGTAAGCCCAGCTAAATTGTGTTCAGAGACAGACTCTGTCTAGCTTGCTTTCTGTTGCTGTGATAAAACACCACGACCAGAAGCAACTTGAGGAGAAAAGGGTTTATTTCAGCTCACAGCTTACAGTCCGCCATGAAGGGACAGCAGGGCAGAAACAGCAGGAACCTGGAGGCAGGAACTGAAGCTGAGGCCATGGACGGGGCGCTGTTTACTGGCTTGCTCCCCCTGGCTTGCTCTGCCTGTAAGCTTATACAGCTCAGGACTCCTTGCCCAGTGATAACACCACCCATGGTGGGCTGTGCTCTTCCCCATCAATCACTGATCAAGAAAATGCCTTACAGACTTGCCTATAGGCTAATCTTACAGAGGCAATCCAAGTTTCCTCTTCTAAGATGGCCCCAGCTTGCATCAAGTTGACAAAGACAAACAAACAAAACCCACATAGATCAGGTGGAGCGATGGAAGAGGACACCGTGACACCAACCTCTGCCCCCACCACCCACAGCGCTCCTCAAGCAACTGGCTGGCCTTGGCTAGTTGATTTTATGGGGGAATCCTGACAAGACCAGCAGATTAGAATAAAACCTGTTGTGATTAGAGGTGGCTCTGAGTTTGAATGTGACTATTCTGAAGCCACTCTCCAGGCTCAGGGGCTTTGGGACAAGCAGTTTACCTCCCCCTCCCCCCAGCATCGGTCTCTACATCTTTAACAAACGAAACACCAAACTCTAAGGACTCCTGTGTGGGTCCTAGGAGCTGGGTAAAAAGTCATCTCTTGGCATCATCAGACCTGGCTCTTAGTGGGCCCTCTCTCAGTGTCTGACAGGTGATATATTGATAGCCACAGAGGTAACTAGGGGATGCCATCAAGGACCACCCCAGTAAAGCAATCCAAACTCCCAGCCAGCCTTGCTAGCCAAACACTGGCTATTATGGCAGACACGTGATGACATGTAGCCATGCCTAGGTTGTGAGCTCACCACGGGAGTAGCCTGGGGGCACCAAGGAGTATTGCTGGTGGAGATATCCAACATTTCAAGGCAAGCCAAACCATGCTAGGGAGACAGCCAAATAGAGGGCCAGTGGTGTCCCCATCACAGGTGAGGGCCAGAGACATTTTCCAACTTTCTGAATGCCATGGGATCGTGAAGTGTACGAAGTATTCTACTAACCTCTATTTCTAGATTCTTCTCTATTGAGGGCGTTAGGCAAGTCACTCATTCCTTTAGCCCTCCTGGCCTTCATCTAGAAAATGGGGTGAGTGTGGTCCACAGTTACACCAGTGACAATGAGTAATGAGAAGTTGGAAAAAGCCAACAGGAGGTGCTTGGTGGCTGGACTCCCTTCCTTCTCTTCGGTGAGCTCAGGTTCATATCCAGCCCAGCCCCTCCTGGGGAGGTGCTACACAGACATGGGTCATTTTTGCTTCCTGGAGGAGGCATGCTGTCTGCTGAACCTTGAAGAAGAGAAGCAGTGCACAGGACCAGCCCAGAGAAGAGACCGAGCCAGGATGAGGAGGGGTGCTCCGAGCCAGGATGAGGAGGGGTGCTCCAGCTCCTGTTAGCATGTGTCAAGCGCCTTCCTTGTTCGTCTGCTCTCAAAGAAATCATGCATTTTGAAATTCAGTACATTCTCAAAGCTCAAGGAAAACAGTAAAAGGCTGAAGATGTGAGTGACACATGTCTGTCATCTCAGCACTCTTGGAGGCTGATGCAGGAGGATCGAGAGTTCTAGGCTACCCTGGGCCACATAGCAAGACCCTGTCTAAAAACCAAAAATAAAATGAAAACAAAATAATGGTAAGAAGCCTTGATGGCTCCCTTCCACCCAAGTTATGGATTTCTTGTTACCCTGCCAAAGAAGTGTGCACAAGTTACAGACCCTCTGTGCTATTTTGCACCTGATTTCCCTCTCCTTTGGAGGTGACTTCATATCTGTCTCTTAGCGGCTGCCTGATCTATTTCAGAACCCCGCATTTCCCCCACTTCAGAGAGGTACTGCGTTCCTGCCAACTTCCATCCCTCTGCTACAGGGCAGTGGCCAGGGCTAGGCATGGTAAACCACTGGAAGGTTTACCTCAGTTGGGATCTGGACCCAGACACCTACCTACAACCTCTTCAACACTCAGCCTTGGCCAGTGCTCAGGGCCCCTCCCAGAAAAGTGTGGGCTGACAGCTTCTGGGCAGTGGGAGAGGACCCCACAGCATACTCCTCCCGGCCCCATCTCAGCCTGAACACCTCAAGCTCGGGTCCCCATCCCTGAAGAAACTTCCCATCAACCCCTTCTTGAGGGTGGCCATCATATTTCCACTGGCCTCCCTGGGCTTCTCAGCCAAGCCTCCATGGCCCCAAAGAACCCAGGAAAAGGAAGTTTTCCCTAGGGAAAAAAAAATGGACCTATGGACAATTAAGCAAGTGACCCTGGCATGATTTCTTACCCAGAGATGGTCTGAGTAGATCCGGATACCGGGGGCACCGAGGTGGGCCCCGGGGCCCCAGTGGCTCTCCCCAAGCTCCTGGGAACCCCGGGAGGTGTGGCATTGAGGCGGGCAAAGCCATGCCTGGGCCTGGCCATAGTCTTGCCCTTCAGCCCCGCCAAGGGCCCCTCTTCTTGTAGCCCCTTCCCTCATCCCGGCCACAGGGGATGCCCGGTAAGGCCTGGCCACAGCCTGCTCCCCAGGGCCCAGGCGCCCCTCCTTTTTTTTTTCCCTGATGGTTCCAACGCTATTCTACCCCATGTCAGGCCGTGGGAAGAATGCCGTGTCCTCTGAACGGGGGCCAAGAGTGACAGGTGGTGGCAACCCGCACTCCATGGCCCCTGGTGTCAAAGATCCTCCTCTTAGTCTCCGCCTCCGCTGCCCACGCCCCTGCCTCCGCCTCTGCCCACCCGGCCCAATCCCTTACAACCACCCCAGGATTGCGCCTGAGCAGCCGCTGCAGACTGCCGGCCACCAGGTTGCCCCTCTCTATCCAGGTACATCTCTCCTCCCAGTTGCCTGGCCTTGGCCTTCTCTCTCCAAAGCTGGAAAAGAGGCGGGCATCTGACAACTTGATAACACTTCACTCCTCTTTCTGCAGCTAGAAAGACTTGAGTTAGACAAGCAGAAGCACACGCCTACCTACCTCATGGCTACAGAAAACGGAGCAGTTGAGCTGGGAATTCAGAGCCTGTCAGCAGGTGCCAAGCAGGGGCAGGAGCTGGATGGGAGGAGGAGCTTCGGAAGGGATGTTTTTGAAGCCAGGGCTGGGCAGGTTCCTTACAGGGAAGCCTGTGCCCAAGGTTTTTTTGCACGGTGCATGAGGGATATGGGAATGGGGATAATCTGTGGGTGGAGTTGGGCTGGGTCCAGGGCCCGCATGAAGCCCTTGCTGGAGGGACGGGGGAGATGGGAAGCCTCCATCAGTGGCTGTTGGGATTCACTTCAGCGCTAGAATTTGAGGAGTGGTGGGGGGCCAGCAAAGCCCATCCAGAGGGGCAGAAGCTGGCGCAGAGCTCCCAAGCTCCTGACAAGTTTGCTACCAAGCGGCTCCAGAGACGTGGTGGGACAGGCATGGACAAGCTGTCCCTCGGTAGAGACCCAGAGCAGGTCTCTGTCCGGCCTGGCAAGGGAAGGAAGTAGGGGGATGCTAACGGATGTCCCCCTTCCTTTGCAGAACAGACACCTAAAGGTGCTGCAGGTGATGGGCCTCCAGCTTCAGAGAAAGACCCCAGCCCCCCAGCCACAGAGAAAGACCTGGGCCCCTCTAGCACGAAGAAAGACCCTGAGGCAGAGAAAGACCTGGGCCCCCCCAACACGAAGAAAGACCCTGGCACAGAGAAAGACCTGAGCCCCCCCAACACAAAGAAAGACCCTGACGCAGAGAAAGACCAGGGCCCCCCTAACACGAAGAAAGACCCCAGCACAGAGAAAGACCAGAGCCCCCCTAACATGAAGAAAGACCCCGGCACAGAGAAAGACCTGGGCCCCCCTAACACGAAGAAAGACCCTGGCACAGAGAAAGACCTGGGCCCCCCTAACACGAAGAAAGACCCCGGCACAGAGAAAGACCTGGGCCCCCCTAACGCAAAGAAAGGCCCCGGCACAGAGAAAGACCTGGGCCCCCCTAGCATGAAGAAAGGCCCTGGCACTCCAGACCCCAAAAAAGGTCCATACCCACCCTCCCTGAAGAAAGATACCAAAGCCTCTGCCCCAGACAAAAAGGGTGACCCAGCTCCAGCTTCAGCCAGCAGCCAGGGCCCTTCAGGAGAGGGAGACGGGGGTGGGGGGCCTGCTGAAGGCAGTGTGGGGCCTCCTGCAGCCTTGCCCCAGCCCACTGCCACAGCTGAGGCCAGCGCCCACAATCAGGATGCCAAGCAAGCACCCTCGGACAACCAGGGACCTGGAGAGCCCAAGGCGGGCAAGAAGGCAGCAGAGTGTCGAGAAGCAGGAAGAAGAGGCTCACCCGCCTTTCTTCACAGCCCAAGCTGCCCTGCTATCATCTCATGGTGACTGTCCCCGCTTGGGGAGGGAGAGGTCGGGTAGCTCCTTTTCCGGGCTTAACCTCCCTGGCTTGAGTACTGGGTATTATCACATCTCTCATTGGGAAGGCACTTCTGTCCTGGGTCCCCCCCCTTCTAACATCCTGTCCCGAAGAACCCAGGAAATTACTTTTGTTCGGAGAACAGAATGTCAGACAGGGGATGTCCCCAAAGGCCACCCAGGCTGCATGTTGTTGTTGTTGTTGTTTTCTCTGGGCTTCTGGGGACTTGTTTCAGGAGTGGCGAGTGGCAAGCTCGAGAGAGTAGTGGCCCTTCTTCATTTAATACGAACAGGCGGCTAACAGTTCATTCATGAAGCTTGATGCAGTCAGTTCTGCACAACTGGACACTCGAGAACTGTGGAAACAATAGCGACACTTCTTGCACCAGCCTGATTGTGACGCATTAATGGCAGTTCCGTGGCAGCAGTTTTTATGAATCAGGAGCCTTATAGCTTCCTGTCGGCTAGTAGGATTAGCCACATCATGGCAGCCAGATCCTGTCAATAGTTCCTCCACGTGTTGAGAGTTGGCCTTTGAAGTGGATGAGGTGGAGCTGGATGTATTTGGGGGCAGGGGGACAGTGTTGTCTTAGTTCTAAATGGCAAGTAATCTCTAGAAGCCTCTAACCGGCACGAGGTGTCTCACTTCTTAGCTCTGAGAAGACACCGGCTGTGAAGCCCCTGAGCGACACAACGGAACTCATCTTTACAGGGGTGTCTGTGACCCCCGACTCCCGAGGTCCTGGGCCAGCCAAGGCAGAAGGCGGGACGAACACCCTGGAAGAGAACCAGGAGGTAGAAGCAGAGAAAGCCCCAGGCCAGGCTGACCATGCTAAGGTGCAAGGGGACACCTCCCAGAGGATCGAGTTCCAGGCTGTTCCCTCAGAGAGAGCGGAGGTGGGGCAGGGCCTCTGTCTCCCTGCCAGGGAGGAAGACTGCTTCCAAATTCTGGGTAGGTAGGGCCAGGCTGGAGCTGGAGTGTCCTGGGGATGGGGGAGGGAAGGCATGGAGTCGTCCCAAGTATCCTTCCTTATGCAGGGGCCTGAACTACCCTGATCCAGGTCTCCCCCAGGTTCCCTGATTCAAATGTCACAGGGCACCAGGTAGTGTTTCTTTCTGATAGAGATGGGAAAGGGAAGCTAAATGCCCAAAGACAGATGGTGAAGACTGTCGGACCTCCAAACCCGCTTTGGATTTTATTCTACATCCGCTAACATGGGGTTTAAAAAGAAAATCACACAGATGAGTAAAGTAGCATAAACTTGCTGAAAAGTGGATTTGGGGCTCTGTCTGGGGAGAGGTTCCAATCCTGGGAAACTGGAAATGAAACAGTGGATGGCAGGGTGTCAGGGACCCATAGGTTTTATGAGCAGCACAGGTGTTTGTGTGTGTGGGACCAGTGGCCGAGGAAGCTGGGCCAGCACTCCGCAGGTACTCGGAGAAAGCTCTGGGCAGCAGGAGAGTCACTTTGAAGAGGGAAGGGGGTCCCAGCAAGGGTGCTGTCAGGCTGGGGGGTGGGGTGACATAGGGTCAGGAGAGCTCAGAGTGTCCTGACACCCCCTCCTCCAGACTGAGGTGCCCTGGGAGACCAGCCAGTCTGCCTGGCTGGCGGCAGAGTGCCACCCAGACAGGGTGGGAGGACCTGGCGGCTGGGCGGTGGCCAGGGGCCCTGCCTCCTGCCCCCGCGGTGACAGAGACCTCCGCCCCCGCCCAGAGATCACATCCTTGGCATGACAGGACCTGAACCACCTCCAAGGGCTGTCTGATTTATCACCAGAGTGGCTTCCCTGCCGGCTCTGACTATTTTTAAAGGTTTCCATTCCGATGAGTCAGCCCGCCGGCCTTTGAAGCCCGCTGTCCCCATGATGCTCACTAGGTGGCGGCACGTCACCACCGAACTGCTGCGTCCCTGGGCGCCCCACCGTGGTGTAATCGGGCGGCGAGCAAGTGTCTCCACCCACACCATCATGCAGGCACAGCAGTCCCACAGTCTGGAACTCCACTTCACAGCTGCTGTGGGGGCTTGTTTGGGTGTTTGGGTGTTTTTATTGGAAACATCCCTCCCTCCCCGCTAGAGCTTGTATCTAAGTCCAGTCAGCTAGCTGTCTCATCGTTCTGCAGAGAACCCGAATTCCCCCTAAAGGAGACAGATTTTGGGTGTTCAAAGGCCATTTTGGGTGTACACGGCCGGACTAGAATTGGAAACTGGGTCCCGTTCTGGCCGGGTGTCCCCCAGGCATCACTTGGTAAACTCAGCTCTCCGGGGGCAGTGGGGGCAGATCAGGAGGCAGGAGTGATGCCAGAGACGTTTCCCAGAAGTCCCCACCCCTGGTTCTAACAGCTCAACTCTGTCTTCTTAGATGATTGCCCGCCACCCCCGGCCCCCTTCCCACACAGGATCGTGGAGCTGAGGACTGGAAATGTCAACAGTGAATTCAGCATGAACTCAAAGGAGGCACTGGGAGGGTGAGACAGGGACCCAAGCCTGGAACCACGCACTGGGGAGTATCCAGCTCCCATGGTCCACTTGGACACGGCCCACATGCATGCACTTGCTTCTATGTGGTCACACTTGTTCTCCATCACCTCCTGAGGTGTAACGACTGTGGTCACTTTCCTGGGTGTGCCTTTGGCCACTCCCATAGGAAATGTAGTCTGTTCCACTCACCCCATGCTCTTCAGCCACCATCTTGGTAGGAGAGCCTCTACTTCAGGAGGGAGTTAGGGCCGGTGGGGTGAATGCTCCCACCGCTCAGAGGAGTAGCCAGAGTCACCATCAGGCCTGGGCCAAGAGGAGAATGGAGCACAGGTCCTTGCTGGCCCGTGGGTCTTGGAAGTACCCTCACTCCAACTTTTTCTCTCTGCAGTGGTAAGTTTGGAGCTGTGTGTACCTGCACCGAGAAAGCCACAGGCCTCAAGCTGGCAGCCAAGGTCATCAAGAAACAGACTCCAAAGGACAAGGTAGCGGGGGAATGCTGGCCCTACCGTGGATTGGCCACCTCTTATCTCCTGCTACCCACAGTGCTGGACTAGGACCCTGCTGTGAAAAGTTTGTGGCATTAAAGATGCCACATAAGGAGAAGGGGGGGGAACACAGCCTGTTACAGGAGGCTGGTGCCCCCAGCCATAAACCAGACACCCCATTTCTCAGCAGCACTGGGAGCAGAGGTGGTTATCCCCTGTGAGAGACAGTGGGGATCCCAAAGTGCAATGGAGGTGGCCCCTGTCCCCAGGGAACCTGTGTCAAGGAAAGGAGGGTCAATGGAGAGCTTCGCTTCCCACCGCCAGTGGGGTCTGCGCTTACAGCTCACAGCAGCC